AACGAACAAAGCGCTGTCACACCCTCACCTTTTGTTTTAAAAATCTGTCGCTTCCAATACTTTTAAGTTGGGCAGTTATCAATATGCTCTTAGACTTTGAACAGATTGGATTGTCAAACGGACAAATTATTAGGAGTCAAAGTGTTGAGGTGTCTATTAGACCACTGCGTACCGTTTACGTTATTTTTATAAAACAATTAATTCGTTATGGATTCGCAACAAGGGCCTTCTAAACGTGTCCAAAGTGATAAGAAGGGCTTCAAGGAAACTGTACTGTAGTGGTTTAATGAAATCGACAGCGATATAAGTGCATAAGCATCTATAGATGACTGTAGTATACTACATAACCATTATAGTGATTATGTCGTTGAATATAATCACAGCAGCGATTCAGGACTTGTCTGTGAAGATTCTATAGAAAATAATTTTATAGGGTCATATAGTAAAGAATTTGATATTTTTTAAGAATTTGAAAAAAAAACAAAAAAGTTTTTATGGAAAAAATAATTGTAAAAATCAGCTATAGTTTGAAGCAGTTATTTTTGCTGTTAAAAAAAAAGATATATTAGAATTTTTTTTTGTTTATGTTATTTTTTAAGGTATATTCTTCGAAATAAAGATCCTTTTATTTTGTTTGGTTTAATATTTTTTATAGTTTAATCACAAAGTTTGCACTACTGCACTTTTTGTACATGTTTTGATTAAAACCTATTTGTTTAAATTTTTCTTTTATTTAGGTATTATTTTTGGTGATATTCTAACTTAATATATAGTTCCTAGTATCCCCAAAACCTCAGATAAAAAAAATAATATAAATAATAATTTTAAAAGGTAGGTGTCTCTCAGACCCCTTAGTACCGTTTATGACCTGAAAGTCGTACCGTACCGGTTACGGGTTAATTTGGAAATTATGACCAAAAATAGTTTCGTCTTAATTATTAATCTGACTGTAATGTTATTTACACAAATATTAACGAAAAATACCTAAACTTGTTATATAATAAGCCTAAACTTGACGAAGCGTTTTAAATCGTGTTAATTTCCCGGACAACATTCGTGATATTCATACGAACATCATGTCGTGATTTTCACAAATTTTATTCATACCTACTGATGGGTCATTCCACGTTACTCGGGGATTTTTGTCCCGCCCATCACAATTAAAAATTGTGAGTAAAAACTACACGTTATAACATTTATTTTAAAATATTGTTTATTATGCTTTTAATAAGTTAAAAGCACAATAAAAATAATATTATAAAATATTAATTTAATAACTTGTGGTTTTTACTCACAACTTTTAATTGTGACGGGCGGGACAAAAATTACCGAGTAACGTGGAATGACCCTGATATCATACGGATGTCACAGCGTGATAAAAAAAATCACGTTGTGATATCATCATGACTTCACCAGAAAATCCCGATTGTTGTCCGGGTTAAAACCCCTTATCTTACGACGCATGCGTATTAATGGTGTTTACGCTGCAGTTAAGGCGCATTTGTTTAAAAACAAACTAGTCGTTTTGACTACGAGTGTAATTTTATGAAATTAATAAATAGTGTTTGTCAACTTATTAAAAGTTTAATTATTAATTATTATTCTACTCTATTGAGTGAGTAAATGGGTTGATTAATTGGTCGCTTTAAACGTTTTTAACCATAGGAAATAATAATAGACTGGTAAGTGTTTCATTCTATGATTTTTTGCGGTTTGGACATAACCTATAAAAGCGTCCGTGTATTACTTATATGCACAGTTTATTCGTTAAATTGATTTGGGGTATTTTATTGAACCGTTCTTAAACCGTACTTTTTACAAACTCGAATGCTAATATTGACAAGTCTAGGAATTATTACAATTAATAATGTAAAGGCAAATGTTTAACAATGTAAAGCAATAATTATTTATACTATTAAGTATTATCACGACTAGCAAAAAGCGCCTGAATGAAACTGTCATCACGAACATACTTTTTAATGATTTTTAACCCCTCAATTTATGCCGTTTTTATTTATTTATTTTTTAAATCTGTTTTGATCGTGATCTTTTAAGACTTTAACAGTTGAAATATATCTTGCTTAGAATGTCACGTGGAAAAAAAATCCTGGAAATCCCTGCTTAAAATACCCCATAGAGACCTATACAAAATAATCTATCGGGCGCTACCAGATTCAATATGTGCATTTGTCCATGGTTTTTTCCGGATACGGCCCGATAGAAAATGTATAGGAAATTACCTATAGGCACACCATAAATTTTACATTTTCCCTATAGAGACCGATAGCAAATAACTCAATGAAGGATATATAGGGATATCCCTATAGAGCAACCATAAAACATTTGACAAAATTTTATTAAAACCTATGGGGTTCTATAGGGGAAAAACTAATTTCTACATTTATGTGTATTTTCCCCATTGAAACCGATAGCAAATAAATCAAGGGTGGATATCCCTATAGAACAACCATAAATCTCAACTATGGGTCCTATACAAACCGATACACCCTATAGAAACACCATACATCCCGATACAAATATCTATCGGTTTGAACAGGGTCTCTATGGGGTATTTTAAGCAGGGATGGCAAAACTGCCTGTATCAGAATATCGCGAAGATCTCAATTTCATTCAAAAATTTAAACCTTCGGATATGATTTTTGATGACAGTGATTCACCAATGCCAGTTCTTGGTAATTCTCCTACTGAAAAAAAGTTCAACATCAGAAAATCGGAGAGGATATGAAGGAAGATGAAAATCAAGGAAGCGCAGAGGAAAATGAAAACGACTCAGAAATTTGTTGTATACAAAAAAGGAGATTTGCGTAAAAGAAAAAGATGCAGTGAATCAAGAAGTTCTAAAAAACAAAACATGGAAGAGAAGTTCCAAAATTCCCACTCTTTGCTGCCTCCAAGTGTAAGAAAAAATGCTTCACAAAACTTGACAAGGAAGAAAGACAAAGCCTAATAAGGAATACTGGAACCTATCCTGGAAAGAAAGACATATGTTTGTAAATCGAAGCATTGAGCAAACTGCTGTAAAACGAAGAACCACCAGTGATGTTTTAATTGAGGACAGCAAATTAAAAAGAAAAAATACAAATAATTTTTTGCTAAAAGTTAGGAAAGGAACTTTGATTTCCGTCTGTCGTACATTTTTCCTAACGACCCTTGGTTACTCCAAAAATAATAACACAATTATTAAATCATCTATATACTCAAAAAACTGAACAAATTCCATAACAGTTGAAAATGATAATCATGGTAGACATTGTAACAGAAAATGTGTTGATCGACAATTTTAGAAAGACATGTAAATTCATTTCATCCGTGTGTCTCTCAGTACCGTAGGGAGCAAGCGCCACTTCTAAAAATATCTTCCTTCTGATATCACTGTTACACAAATGCATAAAGATTTTATAGAAAAGCATAAAAATGTTGATTGTTCTTATTACACCTACAGAGCTTTTGTTAGAGATCAAATGAAAATTTCGTTTACAAAACTCATACCAAAAACAACCTAGACTTAGATAACTGTGACACCTGCAAAAAGTGGAAAACTCATTAATAAGGCCACTGATGCAAGAAAGAAATACAGAGAAGACGCCGACTCTACATCGATACGTTTAAGCAGGTATTTATAAAAATATTCTGTAAAAATTTTTAGTTGTTTGTTTGTCTTTTCTTTAGTAGAAGTAGTTTTTCCTTTAAATTTAATAATTTTTATCTGGTAGCTTACTAGATTTATCCAAATATCAATATGTGAAAATGTCTATAAATTTTAAAAATGTTTATTTTTCAGGTATTGTTTACACAAAGAATTATTGCGTTTAACGAAAGTTTTGTGGCAGCGGAGAAGCATCAAAAAAATTTGGGCGCATCAGCTGTAGTGCTTTTCATTAGTACTTGCTTAGCCAGCGTGACGTTTTGTCCATTAAAATCTGGCTTGATAATTGTGCTGCGCAAAATAAAAATTGGACTTTATTTTTCTTTTTTCCACATATTATTAACTCGTCCGATATTTTGAACCAGGACATTCCTTTATGTCAGCTGACACTATCAGGTGGAGCATTTTTTAAATTCTTATGGTTCGTCTTCAAACACCGGAGTTGGTGGGAAGGTTTACGACGTAATTGACTTTCAAGGTGCAATCGAGCAAGTCAAGATGAAAAATGTAAAGGTCCTATTAATGGAGCTAAATGACTTTAAAGATTGGAAAGACCATAGCTCATTAATGAAAATGAAGAAGCATACTCCAAGGCCATACCTTAGTGACATTGTCAAATTTAAATTTGAAAGAGGCAATTTTAATTTATGGTATTCATACGAATACAATTCCCAGTACACTGTGTTAAACTTAAATATTTGAAAAGTGCAATCGAACCAAATGTAAGGTCACAACTTAGAGGTGTCACTAAGTCGAGAAAGGAGGATATTATAAAAAAAATTGGAGGGAACTCCGGTTTACAGTGAAGTTGCAGACTTGTCTCAGGATATTGACTCTTAAATGAATCATTATTCATTATTTTGCCGTGTTTAAAATGTATTCAATAAAAAAATAAATAAAATAATTTTTTGCATTTTTAAATATTAAATTAAATATTATTATTAATATCACAGCTTTCTTATAAAAGGTAAGGTGTTTTAAGCAACAAATGCAGGTGTCAAAACCTCCTTATGTGATACCGAAACCACTCATGTGTACATAAGGAGTGTTAGGCCAATTGGCATGGATAAAAATCTACAATTATTATCCTTGGTTAAAAACTAAGGTTTAAAAGTATTTAAATTAAGAAACATTCTTATAAAATTATTGGTTTAAATAGGTTTTTAACTATTTTTATTTAAAGATACTACAATGCTACAACTCTATAAAGATATCACGCTGTTCTGGACATTTTACTTTTTATCAGATAAGGCGTTCTTCGTTAACACGGCAGTATACTTACACATATTTTTTTAATAAACATTTTTAATATTAAACGTCAGTATACTTATACTTACTTCTGAGCGGCCATTAGAGCTTCCCTAGTTTTGCTTAAATCTTCATTTATAGCTTGTTTCGCCTGTATTTCTGATTGTAGTGAGCTTTGTAGATTAAGCAATTCCATCTTATCCAATTTTTGTGATCTTCTATTTCTCCAATTTTTATCTGACCCGCTCACAACATTTGATACTCCTTAACACATAAGACACAAATTAAAAGGAAATTTGGGATAAGGTTTTCGCTATTGCGCATAAATAAGAAATCGGAAAAACGTTAATCAAAATTACACAAAAACCAAAATCCGAATCTGAAGTTTGATTACATGTTTTATAATTGCACATGTTACAGTGGGGATGTGTTATAATTTAAGTTAACCCGGTTTTTAAATTTTGTTGTCTTATAGGGGATTCACGCACAGTAGCGATTTGTAATGTTTTAATATCTATAGATAATTATTGGGTAGGTATTTAAGTAAAATATTTTTTAAGCATATTAATAATATGAGCTCTTATTATTAATATTTAGAGGAAGCTTATCGCAATTTACTATTTTCCATTTAAATAACACAATCACACTTTTAATTAATTTTAATTTAAATTTTTTTAACTCAAAAACTGTTTATTTCACAGAATTAATAAACTTTTTTAGGAAATTTTACGTTTTACAAAAAAGGTAGAATAAAATATTTATACAAGTCCAAATCCATTTCAATACCAAAACTCATTAAAATCATTGTATTTACTTTTAACGTGGTAAAATTAATTTATAAGAATTAAATATCTACAAAAATTGAATAAAATATCGATCAGAAATTTGAAATTGTGATCTAATATTCGATCTATTAATCCACTGGCAGAATTTTGTTCGCGCAGCTACTCTGAAAATGAATTAGTCAAAAATGACTAATTACTACAGTTATTAGTGGCTGCTTTTTCACTTATACCACGGTATATGTTACTTTGTAAAAATACTAGCAATGTAGTTATATAAATTGGGTTATTTTTATTAGATTTTAGTTTTACAGTTGATATTTGTATATATTTCATTAAATATGAATAAAAATCATATAGATTTTTATGGATAATATATCGTCATCTGTTGACGGGTAGTTCAACCAATGGTTGAAGGGTGAACGCTATCTAGGTTTATGGTTTCGTGATGTTACTTTGAGGTGAGGTGAGACGATTTTGGAAAACGTTTGTACCCGTTTGTGCTGGCTGACATAGAATTCAGAAAAGGCTGTGTGTTTTGCCTTCCAATATAAATTGGGATATAATTCGAATGCAGCATAAGAATACATAAGGATTGTGTGTAGTATTTTGATACTGGTATCCTCGTATTCGCGGATGATTCCGGATTAACTTTCAACCTTCCTGGTAAGCCATCTTGTCGCATTCATTTTCCAAGTATAAGTGTAATCCTTTTTAGCTTTAATCAGTCGGTTTTCTGTCTCTATAATTCATCTAAGCTTAAGAAGTTCGCTAGTAAACCTGACTGAGACATAAAACCAAACGTAAGTTATCTTATGGCAAAATTTCGCGTAGTTTACCATAAACTTTGTAGGGTTCTTCAACAGGGTTTTTTTACCAGGGTCCCTCTCTGGAATTCTTACTCATCATTGCTTCCCGAGCACTTTGTCCACGCTTCTGTCACTACGTACACCGTCTACCTTTGGAAAATCGATAAACCTGATTGGTTACAACCCTAGTATATGATCATATAGATTTTTATGGATAATATACTAGGGTTGATATAGAGATATATAGAGATATCTCTACCAATATCAAATGTCAAAACTAAAATCTAATAAAAACCTAATATATATAACTAGCATTTTCGGAACGTAACATATACCATGGGATAGCATGGTATCCCCGATATAATAGCCTGTTCTTATGTAAAATTGTCCGCATAATTCGAAAATGTCGTCAAAAGTTATAAAAGTAAAACGGTCTTTGAGATATAGTCAATTTTCCATATAATATGGAATTGACTATATCTCAGAAACTGCTCTACTTTTATAATTTTTTACAGTATTTTAGGATTTAGGGGACAATTTTACATAAGAATTGGATATTATATCGGGGATACCTTGCTATCCCATGGTGAAAAATGAGCCACTAATAACTGTAGTAATTACATGTATTTCTCTAATCGTGTTAACGCTACAATTTTTTTATAAATTATCTTCTTTTTTTAATATCTGAAAAATCTTTATCAATTTTTATTTATTAGTCACCATCGGAAAAACTTATGTGTAGCGACATGTCAGTTTAGAGGAAAATCCCGGCGCTAGTTTTTAGTGACAACCAGTTTTGTTTTTGTATATACAGGGTGTCACCTAATAAATTGTCATGCTTTGGGGGGATGATAGTACACGCCAAAACAAGAAAGTTTTTCCTCTATAATTTTTTTATTAGAGCCTCTTTTTTTTAATAAAAAAAATATAATTTTTTTTTGACAAAACCCACTGGATGTCACTGACCTATCCTATATATCATCATTGTTTTTACCTCTAAAAACAATGATATTATTCATCCAAGCAAAAAAAAAACAGGTAGGTATGCGCACAGTGTATTATGTAATATCAAGCAAAACTTTTAAATTTATTTACTACTTTGTTATCATTGATTACACAGTGCAACAGCAAAAAAAATTATGGAAGTGGTTTTCATTTCTCCTATCCAAAGAATGCCTTTAAACCAATTAACTTGTAGGAAATTGTTGTCATAACAATAAATTAAAAAGAAATAATAAAAAATAAACCAAAAAAAACACTGTATAAATTATTTATTTCGTTAAGATAATAAATTTTATTAAAATGGCAAATAATTGTAAAGACAAAATATATTAATTTTGTTACTTATAGGAAATTTTGTTTTTAAACAGTACAGGCATACCATTTCATTGAGCGACAAAGAAAATTACGAGCACTATTATGGTATGCAAATAAATAAAAATTTAAACTGGGCTCCAAATATAATGTGCAAATTCATTCTCCTATTTGTTAAAAAGAATGTTTTTAATAAAAATAAAAACAATATGTTTTTAATAACTAATATAATAATAATAATAATAATTACCATAATTATTATTATGGTAGAAGCGAAAGAACTAAGAACTTGCCCTCCAGAAAAAGGTTCAATTTTTAAAAGAAATTGCATTTTATTGTTCTCATTATTTTTTTATTTAAATATTTTTTTCTTTATTTGATTGTTATTACTTATAAAACAATATACAAAACCAATAATTATCTTTTATGTACTACTTATTTATTATTTTACGATATAACGCGATGCAGAATTACTAAAACTTTAAATTGATATTAAAAAAAAACAGAATCAATCTAAACATTAAACGCTATAATTCATGATTTTGATTGTAGAAACCGAAAATACTTTCAGAACCCCATCATCTTAATTTTTTTCCGAAGATGTTGCACAGTGTTATAATCAGTAATTACTGATAGTTCGGTTGTTATTGTGATTTCTCTGGGGCTACATGAACAGTTTAGTGTACCAAAGGCTGCCGCTGCAGTGACAAGTTCGCGGAGTTGTTCTGTGTCAACTTCGCTTTGGACCAAAGCGAAGTTGACAACAAGTACCTAAAATAGCTGAGTATACAAATATGCAAAACAAAAAACAATTATCAACAAGTAATGAATGATAACACAAATGTAAATTTTTAATAAATGTAGAGTATTCCCCACTGTGCGAGCATGTTTTAGTAATTTGTCGTAGGTCAGGAACAACTAGTGGCGGATCAAAATTTCTACTTTACTTATAAAAATTTTAATGATTTTTTTATTAAAAAAAATTGCAGTAGTGCAAAAATGATGGAGGAAAAACTTCTTATTTTGGCCTGAATACATAGTAAAGGATGACAACTTATTTGGTGACACCCTGTATTAGTTAATATAATTATATTTCAATTCAATTAACAGGGCTCCCACGGTTAAATTACAAGTTTTATTTAGGAATTTAGGAGGTTTTTTGGAGAATTTTAGGAGAAAAAAGTATGCAAATGAATTTATTTAATTAAATAAAAACAACTCTACACTATACATAAAAAATAAGAACAAAGTAAGTAATTCTCTTTAACAAAAATATAAATAAATATCACTTCTTTTGTACAAATAGGTTATATTGACTAGTTTTTTTAGCCAAATCGCTCGACGAGTTTTTTTTAATAAAATGAAAAGTGAGGTAAAATTACTACTTTTGTATATATATGGTATATACACAAGTAGAAATTAAAAAAAAGCGTCGATATGGCTAAAAAAGTAGGCCAAAGTTTAATGATGTTATATTTATATTTTGAAAAAAACAGTTTAGTTAATAACTAACAATAATTGTAATGTTATTGTTACTAAAAAATCTCATAATAGAAAAAATATAAAGTGCATGATGCAGTAAAACATTCTTTAGATTGTTTACTATTTTAGCTATCATTTAAAAAAAAATTAAAAATCCTTTTGTTTGATATATAACACGGTATATTTTTGTCTAAAATTAACGAAATATGGCTAAAAATGAAAATTTTGTATAAGTCTAGAAGCTACTACATGGATTTTGTTTTATGGTATATTTTGTTGTTTTTTAAGAAAAATGTAAGTTGTGATACCTATATCATTTTAAAAAGAATTACTAGAACCCAAAAATAAATATTTTTTAAATTACTTTTTAAAAAAGAATTTTTTAGCACAACTACCTTAATTAAACGCAGTCAAGTTGGCCTACTTATATTTAATTTTTAGGAGTTTTAGGAGATTGATGGCAATTTTAGGAGAATTTTAGGAGTTTTTAAGATTTAAGCCAAATTTTAGGAATTTTATGAATTTTAGGAGGTGTGGGAGCCCTGAATTAATTAATTTTGACATAAAATATAAGTATATTATGTATATTATTATTATAAATTATGACATAAGCCGAAGGCGAATGTCATATTAAATGCGAGTGTCTTAATAGCCCATTAAATGGAAGTTGCATACACTATTTTTTCTACGACTATAATAATAAAGTAGTACACTTTAATTCTGAAATGTTTCGTACGTTTTTGCAGATTATAGGAGTAAGTTGTTTGCGGCTTTTGCGACCTGTTATAATTTCTGTTACGGTTAAATTTACTATTAATTAACTATCGCACAAGTTCACAAACGGTTAAAAATTTTCTATGTAAACAGTATATGTAATGTAACAGTGTATTACATTTTTATTGGTAAAAATGTCCGTGTATTGCATTTCTATCGGTTGAAAATCTAATTTGTTTATAGTACACGCAGGAAATGTTAAATAACCGAATTAAAGTATGAAAGTAGATTTATATTATATTGATTGTGTAATATTTTAATTTTATAAACTTACCTGTATGTTTTAAAAAATCCAATTCCTCAGTCATTTTTGTTGCCAGTGCTTGCAAATATGCCCTAGCATCTTTTTCGTCACTAACCCATTGAATTATTTCAGAGAGCTGTGATTCCCATTGTACTAAAGCATCTTGCTTACATCGCAGTTGCTCATACTCTAATTCCAAATTAGAACGTTCGTTTTGAAATCGATTCATTGATTCCTTTAACTAAAAATAAACCAAATATACATATATATATATATATATATATATATATATATATATATATATATATATATATATATTGGTGTTTGGTAAGCAGTGACTTCCGATAGGTTGACGTGGCGCCCTGACCTCCGGTATTACCAGTTATTTTAAACGTATACGTATTAGGGTGCGTTTGAAAGAGGGGAAGGTCTACAATTCGGTTGTCAAAAGAGGGGAAGCATTTTGTGAAGAATTAAAATGTATATATTTGGAAGCAACTAATATACGAAATCACTTCCGCATATATATGAAAGAGTTACGGTCACGTCGTACTAACTTCCAGCAGTGTTGCCAGATATCAGAAGTTAGATTTACAACTATATTTTGTTAACTTGCGGAAAGAAATCAATAATTTAAATTAAAACCTAATACCTATTTAGGGAGAAACGTACAAAAAAGTATTTTTATTATAAAAATAACTAGTTTTGTTACTTACGTAAAGAAAATTATTTTATTACAAATTATCAAGTGTTCATTAATATTGACAGTTACGTATTTTTTGAAGTTAAGAACATTTTCCCTTTCTGCTCAAAGGGGTTATTAATATTCTAGGTCAGGGATGGCGAACCTATGGCACGCGTGCCAAGAGTGGCACGTTTTAAATTTTTTTGGGCACGTTTTGAGAACAAAATTTGTTCATCTTAAGCTAATTTTTAAGTTTAATAATTTGCGTATTTTATTCCAATTAAAACATAACTCCGTAAAATTTAATGTCTATGTAATCATAAGCGACAAATTTTACAATTTTTAATGAATATCGCTAGAATTTTATCTAGGTGTTAAATAGAAACAACGATAAAACTTCTTTGTTTGTAAAGCTTTAATTTATAATCTTGAATGTTTTATTAAAAAGTTTAACGTAAGAATAAGCTAGATTTTCATACCAAATAGACTTAAATATCTTGAACAATAATGGTTTTAAAAAGAACCATGAATTTTAAAACAAAATGGGTTATTTTTATAAAAAAACAAAAATGCCATTTTCTTGAAATTTAAAACATAGAACCTTTTTAGTAATTTAATGCTCCAAATAAAATAATTCTATTTACAATTTTTATGAACATCTATTTTTAAGTATGCATCTATGTTAGATTTTGATCTTTTATTTCTTCTAAATCGTACGGTATACCGATACAGATATGATCTAATAAAAAAAAACGAGACTAAATTTATTTCTTAAAATATAACAATTAATTAAAAAAATTTCTAAATAATGATTTACTTTTTTTATAATGTTTTTGTATACTTTCATCTTCATAACACTTATAAAAATTTACATGTGGCACGTTACATTTTGAAATTTTTTTTAAGGTTTTTTGGCACGGGCCGAAAAACGTAAAAAAAATATTTGAGATATTTATTTTTGGGTAGTAATAAAAAGTTACCTTATGTTAAAAGTAATTGATTAGAAAAAAATGTAGCGTACTAGCCTATTATTTAAGGGTCCCCCGGGGGCCCAAAATATTTTTTTTGTATGTTTTGACTGGGGTGGGAACAAAAAGTTACCTTATGTTAACAGTAATTCTAGAAAAAAAAATGAGCGTACTAGCCCAAAATTTAAGGGTGCCCCGGAGGCCCAAAATATATTTTTTTTTCATCTTTTAATTGGGGCAACCACAAAAAGTAACAGTATGTTTAGAAAAAAATAGCCATTCTAGCCCAATATTTAAGGGTGCCCTGGGGGCCCAAATTTTTTTTATTTATATTTTAATTGAGATGGCAACAAAAAGTTACCCCATATATTATTGCATAGAAAAACCAAATGTCTGTATCAGTCTAATAGTTTTTTTTATTATTTTATTAAGACGCCTTTTGATAAAACAATTAGCAATTAGCTTGATTTTATTAAATTTAAAAAAGATTATGCGTTACTCTAAATTAATTAACACAGCCACTAACGAAATAAATAAAGTCTTAAAAGAAATAAATGCTTCAGTTAAAAAAAGAAGTAAAGACTTCAGTTAAATGCCAAAAAAAGTCTTGTAATAAATATTGGTAAAGTATACATGATAAATAAATCAAAACAATATAATTTTATTAAATTATTTTAATACCATACATATAATTTTTTTTAGATTTTTTTTATCATTATTATTAATTAATTGGATAGTTGCTCCTAGAGTGCAACCCGCTCCCTCCCACCCAGTTTTTTTTTATTATTACATAATATTGAGACTTGTTGTCATATAGGCCGGTAAAGATGTCCGCGCATCTATATAACCATTTCTTGCTACCTCACAGCAAATTTTTAATTCAGCTTCTGTTACAAGCTTTACACACTTTTCCACCGCTTGCGTTTGAAAGGGTAACTTGTCGAACCTTATATAGAAGTCGTCTGCTTGACTTATAAATATTTTTAGTTCTTTTATTTTAAAAAACATTTCCAAATTTATAAACATTTTTAACCCTAAACCGCCAAATTTTTGACATCAAATTCTAATATCGGACATTTTTTTTGAAAACACATTGTTAACATAAGGTAACTTTTTGTGGCTACCCCAATTAAAATATAAAAAAAAATGTTGGGCCCCCGGGGCACCCCTAAATATTGGGCTAGTACGCTAATTTTTTTTACAATTATTGTCAACATAATGCAACTTTTTATTGCCACCCCAAACAAAATATAAAAAAAAAATATTTTGGGCCCCCAGGGGGACCCTTAAAAATTGGGCTAGTACGCTAAATTTTTTTTTACAAACTACTTTTGGCATAAGGAAACTTTTTTTTGGTACCCCTAAATTGAATTCAAAAAGTAATTTTTTCGGCCCACCCTAACGCACACTAAAAAAGGTTCGCCATCACTGTTCTAGGTGCAGTGGCGTGCAGGACGGGCCCCGCAGGGCCCGCGGTGCGGGGGGGCCCCCGACCTTAGGGGGGGCCCCGTAGAGAACCACATTGGGTGGTATAAGTGACAAAGGGACCCCAGCTCAAAATTTGCGGGGGGGCCCCCGATCACCTTTGCACGCTACTGTCTAGGTGGTATAATTCCCAATAAAAATCCATGAAAATCAACGAAATTATTATTTTTTAATTGGGTCCTCCAAAGGTTTTTTTAGTGACGGTTGAATAAAATGTCCAAGTTGTGTGAGTTGGGGAAACGGGGTGAGATGTTTTTTTGTACGAGTATTAGTATAAGGAACGTATGGCAGGCCCCACCGGCAACGTCGATTCGATTTTTTTTATTGATCCAAAGTAGAAAAAATGATTTTTACAGCCTAGGCTGTAAATAACGTAACCTGTTTGATATAAATCATTTTTAAGTGACTAGGTCATAATCACTCACTTTACAGTAACGAGTGTTAACAACAATAACCGATTGAAGATAAATATTTTAATATCTTCATTATTTTAATATAAAGTACAGTGCTTTAGGTATTTTTTGTTGTATAAGGTAAAAATTATATAATTGGTTTTATTTTACACTTTTGTTTAAAAAAAATATAACTGCATATTAAACTACCTACTTAAATTTCATAGTTCATTTGTCCTTTTTCCATACCGTACCATAATACGTTCAAAAAAGATAATTTTGGTACAATAATTTCACATTCAAAATCGGGCAACACAGCAGCAGGGAAAGTATGGAAAATAAAATTGTAAATAAATTTTTCGACGCGGACCATAATAATTGTATTGTATTGTATTATACCTACTAGGAAATATTTTGATTAATATAATATTAATAATATTTCATCAATATTAAATAAAATAATTATTCTCAGCTGTTTAGAAAATACAAACTTAATTACGGAATACAACCTTTATTTGTTATAATATTAATTTGTTATAACTAATATTATTTTTGTTATACAAAATGAATAAAGGAAAAAAGCAGTGATTCAAAGCCAAAGGCGGCAGATCTTAAATGTCTCGCAGCGTCTCAGCGCTATGAGATATTAATATCACTCTACTAATTAAAGGAATGAGAATAAAGATTTGGCAACGCCGATTTAACAAGAGAGAGTTAGGTATAGCGTGAACTGCAGGCACAACAAAGATAGTTATATTGTCATGCCCACGCGGAAGTCAAATCGTACAGTTTGTTAAATATTTGTAGCGACAACAGCGCCAGCGGTATATACCCGAACTAAAGGAAAGTTTTGTAGGTATATATGGCACGCACTGACTTCCAACCTAAAATTTGAAATAACGCTTTTTTCGACCTCTATGACATTGCGCTAAAAAAATGCACTTTTCGTAGTGACTTCCGAAATCGGAAGTCACATCGTTATATATGAAGTCACAACGTCTAGTGAGTATCTATTTTGGAAGTCACTTGGTATAGTAGAGGATCCCAAGTAAGGTCGACCTTCACCCACTGCTTACCAGATGAAAATTATATTTTATCAAATAAAATATGTTTCTGAACATAAACCAATAGGGTTGCCATAAAATATATGATCATGGCTAGCTATAATAAATAAAAAATTAAAAAAAAATAATTTATTTTTTAAATTTCACCGACTTGCTTGCCAAATGAACGAAATTCCAATGGAAAGCATACAACATACAGAATATGTAACAGCTAGGTTGCCTACCTTTTTCTGGTCCCTATTACCTGGTTGCTTTGTACAGGGTGATCCCCTATAATGTCGCCCCCCTTTAACTTTTTTATTTTAAGTGTCCCAAAAAATTTAAAAGTTTGGTTATTTAGGTACTAAAAAATACTTTTTTTCTACGTATAAAGAAAATTGGAAAATTGATCAGTATACAGGGAAAACAAAAAGTTTATTTTTTTTCAATGGATCACCGTATACAGGGTGGGCCAATGGAAAGTTTCCACCCGGTTTTCTCAGGTGTTACGAAAAAAAATAAAAAACGCTCGCACCCGTAGATTTCTGATTTGAGGGGGACAATTTGTTTTTATATTTTCAACCCCTTAACTTTAACCCCTGAGCGTGGGTGAAAGTTACCCCCAAAATTTGAATAGGAAAAGGGGGTCGAGTGATACTTCTTTTTGA